GTAGGTCTTAAAGGTGCCGCTGGACTCTAAATTTGTTTCACGGTGAGTGTGTCAGGCTAGGTTCATATCGCCACCTGGCCGCGAAGCTCGCTGAGTGACCTTGGCCAGTTCCTCTCTCGGCCTTACCTACCTCGCATGATGGTTGTAAGGATAAAAAGAGGGTGGGCCCTTGTTCACCGCCCTTGATGGAAGTCTGAGATAAAAGTGGATTGATAACTTTTTTTAAACATGAAGCTGGAGAGAGAGAGAAAGGCTGAGGGCTTCTTCTTCTTCTACCGGGGACCTGAGATCTGAAGAGCAAAGTTGGGCTGGATTCCACCACCAGGTCACTTGGGAATATGGCGTCTCTCCAGGCCCGCTCAATGCAGATGTGTTGCTGTTCCGCACACCACTTTCCTAAGCATTACAGACCCACAGAGCCGCCAAAATAGTTAAGGTTCTTCACCAAGTAGGGGCAGGATGGTGCCAAAGAGGAAGGTGGATCTGGTGGAGAAGCACTATGGGGGGGGGTAGTATTTATTTCCCCAAAAAATTTATACCCCTACTGTCTGCCCTCATTAGGGCTGCTAAGAAGACTTGGTGTCAGGCCTGAGAGAGAAGGGGAAAGTGGGGTGCGGAAGGGACCTCAGAGATTTAAATTCGACAGGCAGTGATACAGTTCCTAGTTTTGAATGTTGGGGCTATAGCCTCTGAACTTGTACAGAGCGAGATCAAAGCTAAGACTTTTAACAGGCAAAGTGGCTCTGAGTCACTGCTCCCTCTCAGCTGTGGAGTCTTGTGAGCAAAAATTCTACTCTGTGAGCTACTGGCATCAAAGTTGTGAGCCAGAAATTTGGCCGCTGCATAAATTAGTTTGCTCTGGAGCCCTCCTTCCTGAACTAAGACAAAAATGGGTGAGCCGGAGGCTGAAAAACTGTGCGCTAGCTCACACTAACTCAGCTTAGAGGGAACACTGCTCTGAGTATATTTTCTGTCTTTGTGGGGAGCTAGGTTCTGCTTTTAAAAATCATGAAGCCAAAGACAGAGTCATAGAATCGTAGAGTTGGAAGGGACCTCCAGGGTCATCTAGTCCAGCCCTCTGCACAATTCAGGAAATTCACAAACCTTCTTCCCACACACTCCCAGTGACCAGTGTTCCCTCTAGGCTGAGTCAGTGTGAGCTAGCTCTCAGTCATTTGAGCTAGGTTCTGTTTTTAAAAATCATGAAGCCAAGGACAGTCACAGAATCGTAGAGTTGGAAGGGACC